ATACATTTCTCTTTTTTTATGTTGAACTGAAATGCATTTAACGTCATATACTGTTCCGGGCCAGTTGGGCTAATGGACACGGGTCACGCCACGCAGTGTTGTATAAAGGAAAGTTTTCTCGGACAGCGGTGAAATTGCCTACCCTTATTTCGAATTTCAACCATCAAGAGATATTTTACGTGTACGCTAACGTGTACAGGAAGCCTGGGTCTTTTTTCAAATTTGAACGACTTGACACCGTGCCTCTAGAGTCCTCCATTCTGCACAACTGAGATCGAGACCTCCAGGTTAATGAGAAGGCGATTTAAACATGGTAGTTGTTCAATAGGCCCTATGTGTACCGAAAACACAAATTGTTTCTATTAGTGTGCAAAGGTTTCACACACACTTAACGTGCACTCGACAGAGGATATGTCATTTTGGGAGTAACATGTCCATATGTATAAAAAATTCGCTTGCTTGGGGGGGTGGGGGGCAGATAACCCACAAGAAAACGAACAAGCGGAAGATGGAGACCACGACTTTCGGCTCAATAACAAACCCTATGATTTAAGCGCACACCTGAAACCATTCGGCCACCCTACCCCCTCAAAGCTTTACCAACGCGTGTTTTTCCAGCAGTGTGGTTTGTTAAACAAAAATTGTCGATAAGAGTTATAATCAATTATAATAAAACTTACTCATTTTGATGTTTTCTCTTTTTAATCACAACAACTATGATAATAGTGATGATAATAATAACACCAATAATGCTACAACTTATAATAATGATATAATTTGTTGATAATAATAGTTTCTCTGTTTTTTCATCACATTTTTCTCCACTGTATATCACATCAGACGTCTCACTACACCTATAAAAAACAATAGACCAGATTGTATTCTAAATGAAATGGGGTTTAACGTCCTACTATTCTGCCCCGACTGGGCTAATGAAGACGGGCATACGCCAAACAGTGTGCCATGAGGGAAATTGTGCCAGGGCAGCGGCACTATGGCCTACTCTTATATCGAATTACAACTACGAAAGGATTTTTTTACGTGCAAGCTAATGTATACATGGGATCTCGGGTTTTCGTCCCATTCGAACGACTATACGTTGTCCTTTGTCAGGCCTTCCGTCGTACACCACCAACAAGGGCGAACTTTCTCGGACCATCCGAACGAATACACATTGTCCCTTGTCAGGCTCCCCGTCTTACACCACTAAGAAGGGGACACCATGCCGGAAAATCCCGATTAACTTCCTCGGCCAACACCAGGGTCGAACATGGGTTCTTCAGGTTAGCGGACCCCACTCCGACTATTCATTGAGACAAATGAGACGAGGGATCATTTTGGCCACACAATTGATAAGTCATTTTGCAAGTAGTGTTACTTATCTTAGCATAATGAAATGTTAATAGGAACATGAATCGGGAGGGTGTCGTATCACATTCAAAATAATCCTACCTGCACTTAGGCTGTCCTAAATATAAAAGACATTGACCAAATGCACCACAATTAAAACCATCACAAGAATCTGTACAGATTATACTGTTGAAAGTTCTACTACACGTGGTACCAGTCGGACATGCACCAATACAGGGATCGAGAAATCTTGCTGCTTCACCTGATCAGAAAAAAAAAATATTCTTCAAATCTTGGAATTAACATACAAAGACCAACAAACAACTCAGCCATGGCAACAGGTTAGATTACTCTTGGTTTCATTGTCACCACCGTTAGCTATCAAGATGATAGATGGTGTTTGAAATTCAGAAGCCGAAGCTATTGAGTAACTCGTGTTTTGTTTTTGCGTTCGTCACTTCATTTTGTTGAAACCTTCATTACGCATCTATCGTAGCAATGATCTCTGTGTTAAAATTATATTTGGAACGTGTTTAACAAGTTCCATCATGTATGTGAAAATGACATCAATATTGTCCTTTAAATACAAAGTATAAGAGACAAGCCATAGGAAAGGAAATGAAATAACGGGATATCTTCATGATGGGTTCTTGTGGTTTTTTTTGTTTATTAACTTACCAGATTCTACCAAGTGTTCAATAGCATGTTTTGTGTAGTCTTTATCAATCGGCGCTGGTAGGTTAATAACATTATTAATTCTCTTTACAACAGTTGTATTGATTTCTTTTGTTGTGTTCTCGTTAGTTTCAAGTAAATCAAATACAGCTTTATAATCACATATAATACTTCCTGGTCTGTAATAAAAATATAGCTTTATAATCACATATAATACTTCCATTTCTGTAATAAAAAACCCAAAATACCCCAATAAAATAAAATACAACTTTGTAATCACATATAATACTTCCTTCTCTATGATAAAAAATAATCACAACATATCATACTTTCGTCTTTGTAATAAATACAGCTGTAATTAGATTTATTACCGATATGAATAAACTCTAAATCTAACGTTTATGGGATTTTATTTTACGCACGTTCCGTTATTCGTGTCACTATAATGCTCATGTATAATAGTATAAACATGGTAGGAGATTCTCTATTTATCATAATATAGTCTTTCTATCGTAAAGTTATCAAATCATCAAACATATATTGGGGATCACGTGGCTAAGTGGGTAAGACGCTGGCTCGCTAGCCTGGAGGTCGGGTGTTCGATCCCTGCCTTGGCCGAGAAAGTTCATCCCGATTTTCCGGCGTGGTTTCCCCTTGTCAGTGATGCAGGACGGAGGGCCTGACAAGGACAGCTGTCTAGTCGTTCGGATGGGACGAAAAAACCGAGGTCCCGTGTACACATTGGTCTGCACGTAAAAGATCCCTTGGCAGTTGGAATTTGATATAAGGGTAGGCCGTAGCGCCGCTGCCCGGGCAAATTTTCTCTCATAGCACACTGTATGGCGTATGCCCGTCTTCATTAGCCCAGGTTAGGAGCAGAACAGTAGGACGTTAAACCACATTTCATTTCATTTCATCAAACATATTATTAGATATTATCACATACCAAAGTATAAGCTTCCAATTATAAAGTTATAAAATTATTAAACATATTATTAGATATTATCTTATGCCAGAGTATAGGCATTCTGTTACAAAGTTATAAAATTATTAAACATATTATTGAATATTATTATCACATAGTAGGCCTTCTATTATAAATCTGTAAAATCATCACTCATTTACCACATGGCCGAGAAATGTCGTCGAGATTTTCCGACGTGGATCCTCCTTGTCAGTGTTGCAGGACGGAGGGCCTGGCAAGGGACACCGTATAGTTATTCGGATGGGGTGCGTGTAAACGTCAGATCAGAACAGTTTGGACATTAAACCCCATTTCATTTCAATTCATATGGTGCGATTCTCTATTGTTCTTATTGTTAAATAAAGAAAAACAACTTACTTAAATCCTTGTACTTCTATTTTCTTAAATCCAGGTGTACCATTAAACGCTTCTCTAAGCTGTAATTAGATTCATTACTTATATGTGAAAAAAAACTAAATCAAACGTTTATGGGAACTTATTTTACGCATGTTCCGCTGTCCGTGTCAGCATAAATGCGCGTGGATCATAGTATAAACATGGTCGAAATCTAGCATCCATACACGTCTGGTACATTTGTCCGCGGCGGCCACATGATAGCGGCTTCAAATTCAACATATTTGTAAATGTAACGTATGTATGTTTACGGTACAGTTTTCATTAACACAAAAAATAATTTCAGAGCTAGCATCAGTAATTAATGTTAAAGCTTACCCCTTCAGTAAAGTTCGCTTCATATCTTTTGTATAAATGAGTTGACTTATCGTTCAGTAAAGGATTAAAATTTTCGTTGCATCTTACAGACAGTTCAAATCCAGTATTGGTCACATCTAAAATGCAAATTTTGAATAAATTTTCTTTCCATCCGAACGACTAGACGCTCCGTTCTGCACCAATGACAAGGGAAATCCTGGTTATAAGCAATATGGAACACTCAAAATCAAAAACGTGATATTCATAATTACAGATGTCGTGAAATATGTGCGTATACTTTCATTGACAAAAGAAAATAGTCAATATAAAATTATGATTAGATAATTAGATAAATAATTTACCATCGATCGTAAAGGCCAATTAACACTCAAATACAAAAATAAAAATTAGCGCAATCTTTGGACAATATACAATTAGAAAAAGTACAAATAGTTCCATTGATTGTAGTTCGAAAGATCTCTAAAATAAAAGAAACTAATGGTAATAATGTCAACAAACGAAGCAAACTAATTCTAGTTGCAGAAATAACACTACGAGTTACGTTTTACCATGACTAGCTAAACTAAGTACCAAGTTTACTTGCAATAAATACGAATTATTTTTAACAACAAAACAATACAATACTAATCAGAAAAGATTACAACTGACCTATGATTGGTTTATGAGCAGCTGTTCTTCTTGTAGTGGGAGGCTTTGTCGTTATAGTGGGAGTAGGAGCCTTTGTCGTTGTTGTGGTAGTAGTGGGAGCCCTTGTCGTTGTTGTGGTTATAGAAGGGGCCTTTGTCGTAGTTGTGGTTGTAGTCGGAGCCTTTGTCGTTCTTGTGGTTATAGTAGGAGCCTTTGTCGTAGTTGGGGTTGTAGTGGGAGCCTTTGTCGTAGTTGGGGTTGTAGTGGGAGCCTTTGTCGTAGTTGGGGTTGTAGTGGGAGACTTCGTCGTTCTTGTGGTTGTAGTGGGATTCTTTGTCATTCTTATGGTTGTAGTGGCTGCCTTTGTCGTAGTTAGGGTTGTGGTGGGAACCTTTGTCGTAGTTGGGGTTATAGTGGGAGCATTTGTCGTAGTTGGGGTTGTAGTGGGGACCTTTGTCGTAATTGGGGTTGTAGTGAGAGCCTTCGTCGTAGTTGGGGTTGTAGTGGGAGCCTTCGTCGTAGTTGGGGATGTAGTGGGAACCTTTGTCGTAGTTGGGGTTGTAGTGGGAGCCTTCGTCGTAGTTGGGGTTGTAGTGGGAGCCTTCGTCGTAGTTAGGGCTGTAGTGGGGATCTTTGTCGTAGTAGGGGTTGTAGTGGGAGCCTTTGTCGTAATTGGGGCTGTAGTGGGAACCTTTGTCGTAGTTGGGGTCGTAGTGGGAGTCTTTGTCGTAGTTGGGGTTGTAGTGCGAGCCTTTGTAGTAGTTGGAGTTGGAGTGCGAGCCTTTGCCGTAGTTGGGGTTGTAGTGAGAGTCTTCGACGTAGTTGGGGTTGTAGTGGGAGCCTTTGTCGTAGTTGGGGTTGTAGTGGGGACCTTTGTCGTAGTTGGGGTTGTAGTGCGGGACTTTGTCGTAGTTGGGGTTGTAGTGGGAGCCTTTGGTGTAGTTGGGGTTGTAGTGGGAGCCTTTGTCGTAGTTGGGGTTGTAGTGCGAGCCTTTGTAGTAGTTGAGGTTGTAGTGGGAACCTTCGTTGTAGTTGAGGTTGTAGTGGGAACCTTCGTTGTAGTTGTAGTTGTAGTGGGATCCTTCTTCGTAGTTGAGGTTGTAGTGGGAGCCTTTGTCGTAGTTGGGGTTGTAGTGCGAACCTTTGTCGTAGTTGGATTTGTAGTGGGAGCCTTTGTGGTTCTTGTGGTTATAGTGGGAGCCTTTGTCGTAGTTGTTGTTGTAGTGGGCGACTTTGTTGTTGTTGTGGTTGTAGTGGGCGCCTTTGTCGTTGTTGTTGTTATTGTTGTAGGCGCCTTTGTCATTGTTGTGGTTGTAGTGGGAGCTTTTATCGTTGTTGTGGTTGTAGTGGGAGCTTTTGTCGTTGTTTTGGTTGTAGTGTGAGCTTTGGTCGTTGTTGTGGTTGTAGTGGGAGCCTTTGTCGTTATTTTGGTTGTAGTGAGAGCCCTTGTCGTTCTTTTGGTTGTAGTGGGAGCCTTTGTCGTTCTTTTGGTTGTAGTGGGAACCTTTGTCGTTGTTGATGTTGTAGTGGGCGCCTTTGTCGTTGTTGTGGTTGTAGTGGGCGCCTTTGTCGTTGTTGTTGTTGTAGTGGGAGCCTTTGTCGTTGTTGTGGTTGTAGTGGGAGCCGTTGTCGTAGTTGTGGGTGTAGTGGGCGCCTTTGTTGTTGTGGTTGTAGTGGGCGCCTTTGTAGTTTTTGTGGTTGTACTGGGCGCCTTTGTCGTTCTTTTGGGTGTAGGGGGAGCTTCTGTCGTTGTTGTGGTTGTAGTGGGAGCCTTTGTCGTTGGTGTGGTGGTAGTGGGCGCCTTTGTCGTTGTTGTTGTTGTAGTGGGCGCTTTTGTCGTTGTTGTGGTTGTAGTGGGAGCCTTTGTCGTTGGTGTGGTGGTAGTGGGCGCCTTTGTCGTTGTTGTGGTTGTAGTGGGAGCCTTTGTCGTTGTTGTGGTTGTAGTGGGAGCCTTTGTCGTTCTTTTGGTTGTAGTGGGAGTCTGAGTTGTCGGGGCCACTGTCGTGCGCGATTGAGTTGTTGGGGATGATGTTATTATTTTTACAAGGATTATAATGATACAAAGTCCCAAATAATGCCGATGCCATGATGCCATTTTGTGATGGTAGTTGATTTATATCTAATCTTCACGCTGCAATAAAATAACATAACATTTTGGAACTGCTCGTCAAACTTATAGTATTATAGCTTAAACTCGTCATCGCTACCGCTCGTTTGATATGTAGATATGCACTCTTATTCAGGCGTATAAAATGTAGGCTTGGTTTAGGGTAGTTGGCGAGAGGGTATGGGGGGGGGGTAATATTGGGCATGTTTAGCTGTAATTTGTATGTGTACTTTTTTGTGTTTTTTTGATGGCATGAAAGCAACGAAATGAAAATAGTGTTACTTGAATTCCCGTATCTAAAACCTACGATACTGTTGAATTGAACTTTTAATTAAGCTGATACATAAAATCTGAATTCATCTTACGCACGTCATCCTCGGTTTCCCCAGTGGTCTCATTCCCTTCTCATTCCCTACTATATATATATATATATATATATATATATATATATATATATATATATATATATAAACACGTTTCCGGTCTTCATTTATATATTATACAACAATTGTAATTTGTTGTTAATAAATAAACATTTAGTATAATTAGCTCAGCTAATTCCTAACCTTGTCTCTTGAAGGGTGGGGGGGGGTGGATGGCTGAATGGTTAGCGTGCGCGCGCTGTTTCATAAAGTCTGTCATTGAGTCAACTGGCGTGGTTTCGATTCCCCGGTTGTACGTGACAAGTAGTAGGGTCGCCTGTCCAACCTCGTGGGTTTTCTCCGGGTCCTCCGGATGACCTAGTTTGTGTCGAGTGGACGTTAAACCCATTTCTCTGTCTCTCTCTCTCTCTCTCTCTCTCTCTCTCTCTGTCTCTTGAAGGGGACCCTATGCTTTTGCTTACTTTACCCGATGGGAGTTACTTCCCTTTGCCAACTTCCTTTGTAATTAACGATTTATGGGATTGGTTGATAAAAATAGCACAATCATCAAAGGCAGATAACTTGAAAACGTGTCCCCCCATTAATGAACCCAGGAGTAGAACGGAATGGGATCACTGTGGATACCCAGGATATACGCACGTATCCTTGATTTTCGCAGATGGCAAGGTTTTGATTTGATACTTTGGAATTACAAGCATAACCTCGACAAAAAAAGATTGTCCGACTATTTGGACAAAACTATCAGCACAATTGTTGAACGTTTCGTCGTAAGCTTGCCTTAAGTTATGAAACGTTATCAGACACCTTTTGGATTGATCAAGTACAAAGTACTTCTTTGACAAATTTATCTAGACACTCGAGCATAAAACATGTAGAGAAATGGAATGAATCGGGGTTAAACGTCCTACAGTTTTGCTCCGATTGGGCTAATGAAGTCGGGCATACGAGGGAAATTTTGCCTTGACAGCGACGCGATGGACTACTTTTATATCGAATTTCAACTGCTAGTGGTTCTTTTACGTGCACGCCAATGTGTACACGGCGCCTCCAGGATAGCGAGCCAACCATTACTCACTGAGCCACCGTGGCTCCCAAAGCGTGTATGATTGCCATAGTATTGAAGGAATACTTTTGTATTTTGTCGTCATTTTGGATTTTTACCGCCATATTTGATCAACCGTTTGTGAGATGAATCGGAAAATCCAAAATTAGTCCGGTGACCAACAAAACCTATAAAATGATATATTACATGGGTCATTCCGCCAACAATGTTTGTCAAGTTCAATTTCTGACCATTTTTGGTCGCCATCTTGAATTTTCGGCTCTCCTGGGATTAGATATAGCAAACTGCAAATATCTTCACTAGGCTTCCTTAACCTTGTTCCCAGAGAAATGGTCACGGATCGGGGGGGGGGGGCAGAAATAGGGTTTAACGTCCACTCGACACAAACTAGGTCATTTCGAGTGTAATAATTTAAAAATCGTCTTCAGTGACAAACTTTGCTTCAGATACAACCCGTCCCCAAATATCATTCCGATTGTGACACCCCGAGCTAAACGTTCACTAAGTTGGTACCCTGCCCCGCCGACGTTCAACATTTTAAAATTGACAATCTACTCCAGAGAGGGCCATTGAGCGTATTTATTTAAACATACATTATGCATCACTCAAGGGCTAAATCTGCCTATAGCAGGTCTTTTTTTTTAGACATTTACATTTATTAACATGAAAAGACCTTAATCAACTCTCGATGGCATCTTGTGTGTCGGATTTGAAACCGATCTGTTGCTCAACGCTCATTGATGTTAGAATCCAAAAATGGATAATCGAGACTGTTTATATCTTACCGACTTTAGTAATGATGATCGAGACTAGGCCTAAAATTCAATCGCTAATATCTCGGTTCACAGGGGAGCAATTTGACTGACATTTTCAGCATACTCCTTTACATTATCTAGTTTTTAACTATTATAGTGAGAAGGGTCAGCTCTTTATCTAATCTTCCATACTGCCCCTTTAAAAAGTTTAAGAAGACCACATACATAATTTGGTAGTAAACTTGAAATAGATCTTGAAAAAAGTGCCAAAATGTTGCTTTATTAAGAATAATCTGTTGATTTGGAAAATATATGATTCATTCAACATGTATCATATAGCAGCAGATGTTATATATTGAGCCATATTCCATATCAATAGGTCATTCTGTTGAGGAGTTCTGAAGGTTTCCATGACAAGTTCATATATGGCCTCCAAAATGGCACTTAGCAAAGTGACCCGAATGTCGATCAACCAAATTTAAACATTTTAGACACCAGGTCTGTCACATGGACTTATGGTTCAATTTTATTTCAATAATTCGCTTGCACGTAGGGGTTATTAGAAGTGGGAGGAAACCCCCCGAGGTTGGACAGGCGACCCTACTCCTTGTCACGTACAAGTGGGGTATCGAACGGTTAATGAGTCATGTGATAACTTATATTTGCATATCAAAGATAGTGATGTGCGTAAGATGCTATGTAGAAAGCGTGAAGGACAAATGAAATGCTGAAGAGAGCAAATGTAAAATGTAATGAGTGAAATCTAAAATAACAGCATTTTCCAATAAAACATTTTATCATTTGACACGGTACATTTGATGTTTTACATTTAACTTTGGTCTTAGAGGTATTTTGACTTTTTTATTACCGGTTTTAGGACTTTGTACATTGTACTTCCATACGGTTCTGGGGGTTGTACATATCGTGTCATCACTTGGATAATGCGATCTGTCGTGCGAGTATGTGTGTGATGGTGTGTTTGTGTGTGTGTGTGTGTGGGGGTGTGTGTGTGTGGGTGTGTTTGTGTGTGAAGGGGTATAATAATTGCAAACTTTAGAAGGACATTTACGAGACATACAGTTTACAATTGTTTAATGGTGTAAAGAATAGATGTGTCTAATAACACAATATGTACTGTTAAACATAACAGTTCTGTGAATAAACAAAAACGATATTATTATTATTGACAAGATTTCAATATACGTTATCAACTACACATATTGAAGAATAAAGTACTGTTACAAACAATAGAAGAAATCATAGGATATTAACGATAAAATTTGATAGTTTGGTCTGATTAAAACACAGGTCATATTTCGTTTCGTTTTTATAGTTCAAAATTCCGTTTTACTTGTCTTTACTACACCAGGATCTGGAAGAGTTGTTATATAATAGGCGTTCTTATTGACGTGAGGAATTAGCTAATGAAACGGTCTGTTAAGCGACTTCTTGGCGTTCTCGTCGCGGAACTGTGGGTAAACTCCTAGAAACGTCAACGCTGATTGATTAATCAATGTCTGGCGTCATGGGTAAACGTCTCTCGTTTGACCCCTGGCGTGAACTCTCATTATAACTTGTCAGATCTTCATGTAGTGTAGGCCATCGAAAGATTAACCCCCCCCCCCCAAAAAAAAAAACCGAAACGAAATATAGATCTGTATTTTAATCAGATTTAGACAGTTAGAATAAGAGTTAACATGACGAAAAACATGGGGTATAAATACTACACCATAAATATAGGGGATACGGGATTGGGCAACTAATAAAATATTATTAAACGAAAATACACATCACGCAGATATCAGTGAGCACCATATTCATTCGTTTACAGCCAAAATGATCTGGATTAATGATCTGGATTAATAATCTGCGATCTTCTACGGTATGGAAGGGTATCGCTGCCAATATTAAATGCTCTGCTAAAATATCTTTTCTGTTGATTACGTGTAAAAAGTACAATGTACTAAGTCCTAACATGGACCTAATACCGGTAATGATAAGTCAAAATACCTCTAAGGCCAAAGTTAAATGTAAAAAGTTAATTGCAATGTTCAAATGTCAAATGTTTTATTGAAAAATTCTGTTTTTGACGTGTGTACATTTTACATTTCCCTCATTACATTTTACATTTGTGTTCTGCCGCACCTCATTTGTCCTTCACGCTTTCTAAATAGTATCTTACGCAGAACACTAAGTTTGATATGCAAATGTAGTATATCACGTGGCATATACATATATCTTTCATTTTTAATCACCATGGTCATTAACATTTTCAACCATTTGGCCACCATATTGGATTTGACAATAAAGTTTCACATTGATGTTCAGTCGTCTTCTTTCTTCCGGTGTTCGCAAACTTGTTTGCAGCTGGAAACAATTCATACTAAGACGATTTTTCTATTTCTATTTTGTTTAGTCCCAGTTCTTGCTAGTAATTGCTAGCACGAGTCCAAGTTGGACACAGATCACCAATAATTCCTACGCCGAAACAAGAATGAAAGTATTTTTAGTCTTTCTCTCCCGTTTCCTCCCTTTTCCGGACTTTTGGTGTAGAATCGATATGGTAAAAATATCTGTATTTTCAGCCATCACGCTTCGTCACCGCGATCCACCCCAAAGTGGTATCATATTATCCAGCATGACCCCGTGGATGTTTAAGGCCATTGCATTTGGACCCCG